ATTAAGCAAAGAAGTCATATTTAAGAAATACATTTTAAGTTAGCCTTTCACCGGTTTTGCCAAATGTTTTCTTTTAAACTTAGGTAACTGCAAGTGTTTGCAGGGGCCAAGTCCTGTCCTGGAGTGTAGCGGTCGTCATGACTTGCCTCACTCAGAATGAGGTGGGTCACATTTTGTTACTCTCAGACAATAGGCTACGAAGCACCTCGGCAATGTCACCATTCTCCTTTCATTATGAGAAGGCACTGGTGTGAGTGCTTGACTACTTAATAATGTCAGCAATAGGTGAAAAATACAGAGCGTTAAACATTAACACGAACGGAATATTTGTTAATTTGAAGACCATTAGCAAAAACCACCCTTTTTAAAATGCTTTTCTGAGCAACATTACAACTATATGTGCTTTTTGAAAATATTTTGACAAGTGTCACAAGGCACTGTATTTTTCAGAAACCACTGCGGAAAATAATATGCCGTAGAATATGAATTGCCTTAGCAAGTCCGCAAAAAAACAGAAATCTAAACTTTGAGATTGTCTGCAGTGCAGATTCCCTGTTATATCTACCTTTATTTTTTCCATTTGTTGGGAAGACTAGCATGCTCTACCAGTGCTTTAGAAGACCCAGAGATTTTGCCTCGAGAGTAAATACATCCTGTAAAGATTGAAGATTCTGCTCAGTTAAACAAAAAGCGGAAATAATAGGCAGCTACTGTTTGCTATAATCCATCCATTTGCTGAGCATGGCTACAAACTTCAAAGTACGCTTCTGCTTACACTTTGTGGAGGCCACATTTTTGCCCCTTTTTCTCCACTTTTGCGCTCACTTCCTCTTCACTGGCAGACGTCACTCAGAGATCTATCCAAAGTGCTTAACCTAAGAAATCCATTTGGCTACAGCTTTATCAAATACGATAATTACGTTGAACTGGAAGCAGCCTCGGGTCTTCGACACTCTCCCCAACACAGTCGCCTCTTATATACGCGAACGCCATGTCGCATGGCTCACTCACACACGTCGGCGTATAAAAGTCTCCACCGGAGCCCTTGTCCACCGATTACTCTAGGTGAAAGATCTGCCTGTCATAAAAGATTAGCTCATGTCACCAAGAGTAGTTTACAACACAATTGCAGCCCACAATCATCTGACCCATTTACTACACCGCATATATATTCACCCAATGCTGGCCAGGCATTTGCACTTGACACTAAACACTCAAGCTTCTGCAGACAAAATCACAATGACGAGGTTCTAACAGCCACCCACCATCTACTCCGCCGTCATTTCTAATTGACGGGAGGTCTATCCTTGTCGATGCTATAAATCTGATGGGCGAAGCGAAAGACAAGAAGACAAGAGAGATCCCCTCTTCCACTACCTTTGTCTAGTGTGAAGAATGAATTGCTCATTGAGGCGGAAGATATCCACCACATCCATCAAATCGCTTGCACACATCCTCGGCATACCCTCACAGGCAGTTTGTGCACAGTCTCCCTTGTCCTTCTTCTGCGTGCAATGGGTCTTCTTTGACACAAGACAGACATCTACAGTTCCTATTATCGCGTAGGAAGGTGAAAGCTAACATACGACAGCCTACTTTTTAATGTTGATATCAAGTCTATGCAGGTGCATGAGTTGGAGTGAGAAATCGGGCTATATTTGGTGTAACCTGTCACTCAGCCTTCCGTGTCTGTGAAATACGACTTATTGTACGCACTATGAAGTGCAAATAGCCGCTCACCAAAGGGCAGATCAGGCCTCACCGTGTTTTCCATCGCCCCTTTTTCCCATTTTGGTACAGAGCACCAAAAATGCAGGATGAACTGGCATCAAAATTCACTGAACATTGCATCCACCTTTGAGTAACAGAGACACGGGTTTACTTCCCAGTGTCACAGCCCACTTCTCCATATTTCCTCAAAAACTTCTTTGCGTAATTCGCGAGAGTTGAGACACCTTACCTCTTGAGAAGACAGATTGGCATTCGTGTTTAGTTCGACCCACGATTTAGGTGGCGTGGATGCAAAATGGGAGAAGAGTGATGGAGAATGCAGTGAGATCTGATCTGTTGGTAGGTGGATGACTATCTGTGCTCATCGATGCATGGAATTAGTCGCAAGTCCTTCCATGCACATTCTACGATTGCATCTACAGCTTCCTTCTACTTACCATTTAGTGGACAGGTGTGAGGTTTGCGCTTAAAGGAAGATTAAAGACACTAACAAGCTAGTCATAATCATATGCACCTAGACTCAGCACAAGAATGAAGCCACCTCTCACTGATTCGTCTGCGCATATCCACAGGATCAAGTAATAATTCGGCAGTCCATTTCCATCGTTGTGAGACCTGTAGTTCATCTTCCACTGCACGCAATTCATCCAGGCATCAAGTGAAACGCAAGAGGGAATAATCCTATAAGACACATAAGATAGCTGGCAACTTTCGGCAAATGTCAGTAGTGGACTGAAAATATTATGCTGCGACTTTTCAGTCGGTGAAAGAAAGCAATGATGTTTCATTAGTGCTGGACATTACAACGAGCATCAGACAATTTTGACACGTAATTTTACAATGGAGGGCGTGGATAGAATGCATGGACGTGAGTGGATCTTCC